GGCGTGGCCAAGTGGCGAAGGCGTGGCCAAGCGGCGAAGGCGTGGCCAAGCACAAGGGCGTGGTCAGACGGTGGGCGGGGCTCTCCGCGTTTGGGCCCCACCCCCTCCAGCAAGGCCCGCCCCGCCCGTCCGGCATCACCGGCCGGGGATGCTCCGAGCGCTGCCCCTCGGAGCCCCTCCCGGTGCCTGAGGGGGCTTCAGAGAGCTGGAGAGGGACTTGGGACAGGGGTCTGCAGTGGCAGGACACAGGGAATGGCTTTCCATAGCCAGAGGGCGGGGTGAGATGGGATATTGGCAAGAAATTCTTCCCTGTGAGAGTGGAAAGACCTTGGCTTTCCACAGGTTGCCCAGAGAAGCTGTGGCTGTGTCATCCCCGGAAACGTTCAAAACCAAGTTGGACAGGGCTCTGAGCAAGTGGCAGGTGTCTCTGCCCATGAACCATGAATCCAACCCAGAGGAGTTGGACTGTATGATCTTGAAAGGTCCCTTCCAGCCCAATGCCGTCTATAATGCTGTGCTGGGATCTGGTTATTCCCCCAGTCCCACATGAATGGGAGTGAAGAGCTGGGGAAGCTCAGCTGTGGGTTGTGTGGTTGCTGGGGTAATGTTCAGGCTGATGGCAGAAAGTGTCTCGTCCTTTCCTGCTCTGCATCTGTGGCACCTGGCTGGGTTTGTCAGACCTCATCTGCAGCCATTGGCTTTGGAGAGAGCTGTGCACTGCCAAGCCACCCCCTCCCTTCCCAGTCAGAGCCACATCTCTGGATAACTCCCTTGAAAAACCTCTTTCCATATCCTGGATTAGTCTCACATCTCTAGGGGTTGCTTTCCAACCCCTACATCCCCTTCAGACTACAAATGTCCTGTCTGGCTTCAGATCACTGGGTGCTTGGTGGAGATGTGCCTCCACAGCCACAGACCCCAGAGATGCCACATGAACACCCCAGTCACACCAGTAGCCATGTCCAGTAGGAATGTCAGGTTGTCCCTGTGTGCTGCAGAGCTCCCAGGCTGCCCAAGGTTTTCTCCTGTGGAGTCAAGGGATGCTCTGCAAAATCCTGGCATCCAATCTTTGGCCCCATGCTCTGGGCACAGACCTGAGGCCTTGGCACGCATACAAAAGCCAGTGCTGTATTGGACCTGCTGTCTGGGATCCTGCTGGCCAGCATGTGCTGCCTGATTCTCCGTGCACGGATTCCCATGGCTGTGCAGGGCTGTGTGGCTGGGCTCAGCCCCAGCCGACACGCTCACAGTGGGAGCCCTGTTAGAGTGTCAATGGTGCTCTGGCAGCCTGTCAGCCCAATTTGAGCCTGTCCAAGGAATGCTGAGAGTGAGCTGCTATGGTATGGTGTGACAGGGACATCAGGCCTGGCTCTGGAAGGAATTTCCACCTGCCCGTGGCTCCCCCTGACACCATGACTGAGCAGGAAGGTACCAGGCAGAGGTGGGTGACAGCATGGCATGGGGGCCAGCCATGTCATTTGCTCCCAGCAGAATAGTTACCTCTTACATTTTCTTTATTCTTTAATTTCCTTGGCCCTTTGCTCCTGTGAAATGAACTGTGGAAAAAAAAAAAATCCCTCTCTGGGACTTTACTTCCCCAAGAAAAACTGCTGTCATAGTTTAGGAATGGCACTCTCCAATTTAGTGTCCCCTTCCCAAGACCCTCACAAACCAGATGCTGCTCACTCCCTCTCTCTCTCTCTCCCTCCTTTCCACCACCTCCTCCCTGCTTTAAGAATGGAGTTGAGAACTGGAGGCACAAAAAGGTGGTTTGAGATAAAAACCATTTACTGGAAACAGCACCTCTGTGGGGACCTCAACACTCCCTAGCATCACACTCAGCCATGGGGCAGGGGTACTCTTTCTTCATCTGGGAGCAAGTGGTGGGTGGGGAGATGGAGGGGGCCACAGGAGCCCAAATCACAGTGGGGCTGAGTTGGATCCTCCAGCCCTGATCCATCAGGGACAAGCAGGGCTGGCAGCAAGGTGGGACCTGATCTCCTTGGAGAGGCAGAGAGGGACCCACTAAAGCCCAAAGTGCTCACTTCATGGGGCAAATACAGGAAGTGTTTGGGTTCCTAAATCCATTTGTCATCACAGAAAACTTTTCCCTTTACCTGTTCTAACTACAATTCAATGTTCACAGAGTCTTTGAGTTGATTTGATGAGGCAGAGATGGAAAACTGCATGGCCGGTCCACTGGAAAGATATCACACGGACACACCCAGCACAAAAACCCTGGGGAAGCCACCCACCCCTCCCTGTGAAGCTCCCTCCCCGTACCCTGTGACCTCTCCATGACCAAGGGCATACCAAAGAGCTGCTGTCCCCAGGACAGCACCACAGTCTGGGCTACCAGAAAACCAAGTTGGGTTCTCTGGCACCAGCTGCCTTACTGGAAGTTGGAGGGTGCAGAGGGATGAGGCACAGCAGACCGTGTGTCCCCCCACAGCAAAACCCCCCAGCCCATGAGCCAGGGCAGGAGAAAATGTCAGAGGTGCTGTGTGAGTGGGATGCAAGTGGCATCTTCATTTCATTCTCTGGTAACTGTGGGGCTTTGCAATTACATGTGCTGATCTGATAGTCATTAGGGAATGATCAGCCAGTCATTGACAGGGGCTGTTTGCCTTTCTGCTAATTAAATTGCATTTGATTTGCAATCAAATCTAATGAATCAAGTGAGCTTGAGGTAGGCTCAAGTGAAGCACAAGCCAGCTCCACAGCCTTGCTGTGCACAAAGAGCCACATCCCAGGGGCACTGCCAGGAACCACCCTGTGGCACAGGGCAGTGAGGGACGTGTCTGCAGGTGAGCAGTGCTGTGTATGTGGCAGGGGCACAGCTTCTGCCATGGAGCTGTGGGCTTTGAGACATACACCACTGTATTGGCTTGGCATGGCCAGCCTTTGGTAGTGGGGGGCTATAGGGGTGGCTTCTGTAAGAAGCTGTGAGAAGCTTCCACCATGTCCAGCAGAGCCAATCCCTGGTGGCTCCAAAGATGGACATGCCACTGGCCAAAGCTAGGCCAGTTAGGAGTGGTGGTTATGCCTCTGAGATTACATATTTAAGAAGAAACAAAAGAGGTTTTTGTGCAGTTGTAATTGTGGCCAAATAAAAGCGGGGTGAGAATATGTGAGAGGAAAGCTCTGAAGACACCAAGGTCAGTGGAGAAGGAGGGGAAGAAGCTGTTCCAGGTGTTGGAGCTGAGATTCCCCTGAGCCTGCAGTGAAAACAGTGGTGCCCCTACAACCCAAGGATGGCACAGGAGTGCAGAGATCCACCTGCAGCTCCTGGAGGAGCCTATGCTGGAGCACGGAGATGCCTGAGGGGAGGATGTGACCCCTCTTCCATGTGGGAAGCCCATGGTGGAGCAGGATTCCTGGCAGGGACTTGCAGACCTGTGGAGAGAGGAGCCCACACTGGGGCAGGTTTGCTGGTAGAAGCTGTGACCCCATGGGGGACACACGCTGGAGCAGCCTGTCTTTGAAGGACTGACCCCATGGAAAAGTGACTCACATTGCAGCAGTTTGGCTAGGGCTGTTGCTTGTGAGCTGGACTCACAATTGAGAAGTTCACGGAGAACTATTCCTTGTGGGAGGGACTCTGCTGGAGCAGGGGAATGACTTCTGTCCCTGAGCAGTGTCCCATTCCTGTCTCCCTGCACCACTGCAGGGACAGAGGTAGAACTGGTAAGGAGGGAGGGATGGGGGGGACGGTGTTTTTAAGGTCTTATTTTACTTTTCATTATCCTCCTCTGATTTTGTTAGTAATAAATTAAATTAATATTTCTAATTAGAGCCTGTTTTGCCTACGACAGTATTTGATGAGTGATCTCTCCCAGTCCTTATCTTAATTCACAAATTCTTTGTTATATTTTCTCTCCCCTGTCCAGCTGCAGAGGGGAGAGCTAGAGAGGCTTTGGTGGGTGCCTGAGGTCACCTCACTACAGCCAGACACTCTGTGCTGCCATGGAGTGCTCCTCTGGCTGCCAGGCCAGCAGAGAGACAGCGAGTATAGCCCTGACTGCTGTCTGCAGAAGAGGGGCAGGAAATACATGAGGACAGAGACCCAAGCATGGGGCTGCTGCTTCTCTCCTGCACCTCTCTTCATGATAGGTGTGTCTGGCAGCTTCAGTGGTTTGGGACACTGGTGTGATTTCAATAGACCCCTGGATGTGTATTGAAAGAGGATAGGCTGTTCTCACCCACCAGACCCCAGTAGCACTTGGGGAACCCTGTGGTCTCACTCTGCACCATCCAAGGCAGATGGACAAGCCTGGTCCTGATGTCTGCATGTCATCTGAGTGACTCCTCTTGTGGTAGCCTCACCACCAGCTGGTGACTGGTGCTGCACTCCTCACATGCACAGGGACATCCAGGAGTCTCTAACACAGCTCCAGGCAGGTTGGATGGGCTATTTTTTTTTGGATGGCCAAGAGCCCAAAGGTCCCAAGCAGCAAGTGGAACCTGGCTCAGAACTGAAATTAAAGTATCATCCTTGTGCCAGCTGGTGTTACTCTTATGACCTCAGATGATCCCATACAGTCACGCTTTATTTTTAAAAAGAGAAAAAATGAAAAGTCAAGAGGATTAACTATCACATATGGCACAGAGATTGTCTGGAAAGACCAGCTTAGCTTCCTTTTGAGTGCTTAAGCTGATATTAGCAAATACATGCCCTAAACAACATTGGGAACCTTAAATGGAACCCAGTGTGATTGAATCAATTTAAAGAATCTGATTAGAAATAAATATTCTTGGGTGAGCTCAGCTGGGATCACTCCTGGCTGTTCATCATCCACAGCCCCCAGGAGGACAACAGGAGGGACCACAGGACCCAGCACCCCAGGTTCTCCCAAGACAGCCAAACCAAGATCTGGGGAGGGCTTCTATTTATTGACAAAAAGCAGGGACTGTGTGCTGGAGGAGCAGGGGCTGTGTCAGAGTCCTGACAACAGAGCTTGGAAAAAGGATGGTGGAGCAGAAGCCTGGAGCTTCAGAGCATGGATCTTGCATTGCTTGGCAGGAGCATCCATGAGCCAGTCTGCGCTTCCTGGAAAAGAGGTGGGAGAGGTGGGGGCTGGGTGGGGCAAGGAGACCAGTGGAACTCTCCATTAGAATCAATGCATTCTTCTCCAGTTGTCCCCAGATTTGTAGGGTAAGGCATCTCCAGCAATGGATTTCTAGTAATGCCTTCAGCTGTGTGGTGGGAAAGCACAGGCCAGGGTGGTGACAACAGCAAATATATTTTGCATAGTGAGACACCAACCCACTCTGGCCAGGTCTGCCAGTCCACAAGCCCAGGGCCCCTTTGGCAGGAGTTGGTGTCCTGGTCCTCACTGCTTAAAGGGCTGCACAGACATTTCTCTGGTGGTTTCAGCCCCCATGTTCAGTGCCAGGCACTTTCCACTGGGAGTCTCTGGGCACTGCTCTTTGGGAGTCCCTGCGTGCTGCTACCTGGGGATCCCCACTGTAGAGCAGTATCCAAAAGAATGGTCCTACCTGTGTGCAAGCTCCAGCACCAGTTCAAACAGCTCAACCCCATAGAAATTCAAAGACTTCTTGGTGGCCCTTGTCGTGGGGGCACCAAGAGAGTAAATATCCAGGAGAGAACATTGCAAACACCACGTTTCACTGTGACAACTCACCTACAATTCATCAAGTCTGCATTCCTCTGTGGAAAAAAAGAGAAAGCCTGAGTCTGGCACTGTGGTCTGAATAATCACATTTAGCCCCCAAAATAGACTACTCAAAAGGAACTTGTGGGTTTCTCCTTGCTCAGTGTGCCCAGCCAGAGCACTGCTGGCTGCCAGCACCCCCTCCTGCCAGCTCAGACCACGAAGTGCTGGCACTGATGGGCTGAGCTGGTCCCTGCCTGCGTGTCCCTGTATTGGCCCTGGGCAGTGCTCACCCTGCCTGGGTAAAATCCAGATTGTCTCGTCGGTGAAGCCGTTCAGCTTGGCAAGTCTCTTGAACAGCAATTTGATTTTGGGTCTCACCCACTGGCTTCTGCCTAAAGACAAAGACATGAGTTAGCTCCAGGCTGTGCCTGACCCTGCATCTCCTGGGAAGCTGGTGAGTGTGTTCAGCTGAGGGTGGGATGGATGGCAGTCCTTGGCAGAATGCTGGAGGCACTGAGGGAAGTCCTGGAGAGCAGTGGTGGCCAAGCACATGAGACACCCCACCCAGGGAACAAGATAGCCAGAGATTCTGACATCAGCACAGTGACTCCTCTCATGATTCCTGTCCCCACTGATTCTGTTCTGCCTGTGCAGCAAGAACCCCACTCTCCACCCCTCTCCACCAAGCAACTTACCCAAGGCCATGGACTTGCAGCACAGTGCTGGGAGCCGGAGCCCCAACCTCCACAGCCACCCCAAACCACTGCTCCTTCCCTGCCACACAGGGAACACCTGGTGGTCCCTGCCCCACTCCTGCACCTCACCTAGGGTGGGAGTGAAGAGGGAGACCCCCATTCCCCAGCCTTGCAGGACCCTCAGAAGCACCTGACGCCTCTTAGCAGTTCACCACTGCTGGATACGCACTGTAAAGTCTCAGCATGTGCAAGGTCTTCTCATCCTTCTCTCTGGTGGCAAAGACAACCATGTAGGAACTGCCATCGGTATCCACCAGCCTCACCGTCTTATTGCCTCTGTCTGCAAAAGGACATGGTGAAAAATTAATTATCTTCTTCTGGAAACCCCCACTCTGCAAACAGGCCGTAAGAGCATGAAGCCCATCAAGCCTGTCTTTCCTCAGTTTCTCCCCATCCTGTTTTTCTTTCTTGCTAAGGCCCCTCTGAAAGCCTGGGGGAGCCCACAGACCACAACAGAGCAGAGGGATAGGGAGGTGAGGATAGAAAGGGGTGGTCAGTGCAAGCTGTTGGCCAGTGTCAGACTGATCCTTGTGCTGGGAATGATGGCAAACCACTCCTGCTCCATCCCTGGGAACATCCACTCACAGCCTCTTTGCGAAAGGAGCCTACTATTCCACTGGGCTTTAAGCTTACTCTGAATGTGTTTATCCCAGAGGGAGGGATTGGGGGGGTCTGCCATGCTGCTGAGCCACCAGCCCTGGGGTGCAGCTGGCACCTGGAGGCAGAAGGATGTCCCACCCAGGACAGAGGAGGGACAGGCAGTCCTGAGGGCCATGTCCCCAGGAACAGCCAGCTGCTTCAGACAGGGATGGCAGGACATGCCTCCATCCTGCCCCAAGACCCAGGCACCCCCACTCACCAGAGCTGTAGTATTCACCCGGGCTGCCTGTTGGCTTGTAGATCGATTCAAACTTCATGCATCTCCCAGGGCTGCAGAAGAGTGAAAGATGCTCCAGCTGAGTTGAAATGACCCCCTTTCCTCTCTCCTGTTCAAGGGTCACTATTCCAGACGTGGGACTTGCTGTTCAGAGATGGGATGGTGTGGCCAGGGCAGGAGGGAAGAGATACCACCCTTGGAATACAGGGCACCTGAGCTGGCAGGGGACAGGGGACATGCCCTCACTCATGCTTTGAGCTTCTGGGATGAGACTGGTTCTGCTGGGAAAGTTGTAATCGTAGGATCCTGTCCCACCCTCTGTGATGGCACTGGTCCTAGCTAGCATTGCCCTGAGCCTGCCCTGAAGACAGGGAGCCCACAGCTGTCCCAAGCCCCTGGTGGTCCTGTCTCAGCCCCTGCCCAGTCTTTGGTGAGTGCACTGAGGTGGAGACCCACCAGTGAAAGTCCAGGGAGGAGGTTGGTAGTGAAGCCTATGGAGAAAGGCATGTGGACTTACGTGGGAATTGCAAAGGAGACCTTCAGGTCACCATCCCCCAGGACCTCAATGTTGGCCATTGCCATCTTCAGTTGGTCCTTATTTTGGAGATAGCTCTCAGAGTCAGAGGCCATAGCAGTGATGTACCATGTCCCTGCAATCTGGCAGTGAGAGCAGGCTGTGAGTCCAGAGGAGCAGTCAAGAGTGTCCCCTCCTCAGGGACCAAGCCAGGAAAACCTCAGTCCATGGAACACCCACATTCTGTCCAGACAACCAAATTCCCACAGGGACACCTATGCAGGAGCTGAGCGATGATCCTTACCTAGGTGTGACAGCAAAGCACTGGTGGCTGTAGTGACCCCAGCTGTCCCCAGTACGAAAACACATTTACAGTCCTCCCTGCTCTGCTGGTGACTGGAGACTACACCCTTTCCCTTTCCCTTTCCCTTCCCCTTCCCTGCCCACCTTGCTCTCGTCCGGCTCCGCAGTCCCCACGTCCCCGGCCTGCACGCCCAGCAAGCAGAGCAGGACCAGTCCCAGGCTCAGCCCCATCGTCCTCATCTCGGCTCAGCTCCTCTGGCCCCCGCAGTGGGATGGGGAGCGGTGCCGGGCTGTGGGATTTATAGCTCCGTGCTGCCTGCTCTGCCCCCCCGCTGGAGCGCTCTCGGGGCTGGCTTGGGCAGGGGTGGATCCGAAGGGCAGAGTCAGCCCAGAGTGAACAAACCCCTGGGGCAGAGGGGAGCTCGTGCCTGCCAGCCCCAAAACGGGGTTACAGGAACTGTTGCACCATTGCTGAAATTTCGGATTTCCCCCGTTCTTTTGGCTGCTTGCGAAAGAACAAAGGGAGCGGTTGTTTCCCCGCGGGCTGCGGGAAGGCTGCCGGGAGGAGCGGGAGGTTCTTCCCGGCACCGGCCCCGGGGCAGCCCCGGTGCCCAACTCACCAAGGCCCTCGGTGACCGGTGTCACCGGCCCCGGGCAGCTGCTGGCATCCTGCCCAAATCCAGCCCTTGGCTGGCACAGCCTGACCCGCGGTGCCTGCGCCGGCCGCCCCACCTGCGCTGGGCTGCACCCTGAGCAGGCTGGGCAGAAGAGCGGCTTCATGTGGCTGTGGGATTGTGTCCCTCCTTCCCAGAGTGTGATGTCCCCTGTGGCCTGGCTCTGCCAGGCTCCTGGGGTCACAGCCCAACACCTGCCTGGGCGCTGAGGGACACCGGGGCAGGGAGGCAGAGGGGGGACCAGAGGCTGCCTTCACTCTGCAGGAGGTGGAGGGGGATGAACACTGCCCTTGGGGGTTATGGCAGCATGGTCTTACTCTAGTCAGATGGGGACCAGGGGGGGTGTCAGACAGACATGTGGGTCCCAGTCCTGCCATAGGCAGCCCTGGTGCCACCCCACTCCCAGCTGGGTGGCGCAGGAGAGGACTGAGCAGGGAATGGGGTTTCCTGCAGGCAGCACTGGGCAGCCTGACTGTTTAGCCCTGTCTGCCCAGAGCTACTGACCACCCAGCTAGCCTGTGCCAGCCTGGCTCCATTCTTCCATGCCCTGGCAGCTGCTCCCCTGCACCTTCCCCATCCTCCTGACGCTTGGCACAGCAAACATCACATCCTGGGTGCCCCCTACCACCCGTGAGGGCCTGACAGGAAGGGTCAGCTCCAGGACTGTTTGGCTCAGGGTGCCTGGGGACCCTGGCATCAACCTGCTCCCACCAATAAAGCACCAAGCTCTGGAGCAGTTTCTGCATCTATTTATTTAGGAGGTTGAGGATGATCCTGGTACGAAGCAGAGGGTCTGGCAGAGCCTGGAGAATGGGAAGGAGCACCATGGAGTGGGGTGCAGAGCCCATTGTTCACTAGGTCTAGAGGACACATGGTACTTCAGCTGTAGAGACAAGACAGGCAGACAACTGTTCAAAGCAGGGCACAGCCAAGGTGACAGAGTCCCGAGGCACATGGGGGATCACCCAGGGCCTGCAAGTCCCTGCTCAGCCCAGGCCATGCTGGAAGGGAGTCACAGCTTTCCCTGGCCACTCTCACCTGATGTCCCTGGTGCACTGATCTGTTGGAAAGCAAAGAGAGGGGTGAGTGTGCCATTGGCAACACCCTGAACCCCCACGTAGAGGGGCCACAGCTGCCACCCTGTGCCCTTGGGCCACTCACCTGACTTGGGCAGGATGGCCAGCATGTCCTTAGTCAGGCCCACGGTGAGGATGAGCTCCATGAACTTCTGCAGGAGCTGGGGGCTCAGGTCCTGCTCCCTTGCTGCAGCCACACACCCAAAGTGGCCGCTGATGAGTGCAAGGAATCCCAACAGCCAGCCCCACTCTAGGGGTCCAGGTACTGTGGGGCAACAGCTGGACCCCAGGGAAAGGCCAAGGAGCGAACATGCAGGGTGGACACCAGGCAACCCACAGCTGCCCTGGGCTGGCAGCAAAGGGGCACAAGCCCCTTGGGATGAGTGACCCATTCACTTGGGGTGGTATGGGGTGGCTGGCAGGGTTGGGTTTCTGCAGCTGGGCTTGCATACTGCAGGGGGCTCTGGTTCAACCCACAACCAACAGGAAATATCTTTAGTGCAAGGCTTCATTCACCCCAAAATTAATTCCCTAGGTGATGGACATGGGGTGCTGCTGATGGTGGGCCTGGGCAGTGGTGGGGAGCTCAGACCCTGTCTGCCTCTGGTGCCCCCATCCCTTCCCAGGAGCCAGGTCCCCACTACCAACGCACTGAGGAGCTGCAATGCCGTGCTGGGCTCTGCCTCGCCGAGATGGGCCTCGTGCAGGACAGCGTAGTGGCTGTAGTCTGTCTCCATCACATGCAGATCCCTCTTCTCTTGTGCTCCTAAGGACCCCAGAGGTGACCACTTGGGTAACGTGGTACAGTCTGAGCCCTTCCGGGCCCTGCTGGGGCCCGCAGCTCAGTGCTCAAGCCTCAAATTTGCCTGAGGTAGGTATGAGGAAGGAACCCCTGCTCCATGTGGAGGAGCCAGGTGCCCACCCACCTAGAAGTTCTTGCTGAGTTGTGGAGGCAGAGGGGCCAAGCCCACCTCCCATTGCTCCTGAGGCATGGGGGCTGGGATACCCACCCTCTGCTTCAAGGTACCCATGGCTCCACAGCCCATACCACACATACCTGTGTAGTGTCCTGCCTGCTCGCTCTGCTGGAAGAGAAGCTCAAACTTTTGGCATTTGTGCATCCTGGAAAAGGAACATGAAACAGACAAATGTTTCTAGAGACCACATGGGAGGGCAGTGGGGTGGTGGGCACAGGGGGGAGCCCAGCCTGCCCAGAGGGTTGCACTGAGGCAGGATTGGACAACCTGGAGCAGTGGGGAAGTTGCTTTGGTGGAGAAGGGAGTCCCTGTACCACGGGGAACAGGATGAGCAGGACAGACACTTACAAGGTCCAGACCAACTTCATGGCCAGGTCCCCTTCTGGCATGAAGCTGATGATGGCCGTGGATGACTTCATCCCATCCCTCATCTTCAGGAAGATGGAGCAGTTGGAAGCAATGGCTGTGACATGCCACACCCCTGCAAACTGCAGAAGGACATCACCAGTGGAATTCGGAAAAGTTGTGGGGACTTGCCAGGGGGATCTGCACTCCTCCGTGGGGGACCTGGCAGCCCACTGCAGAAATTTGACAACCTGCAGTGGACCTGCCACTGTCTCTGGGGACATGTCGCCCTCCTCAGGGACCTGCCACCCTCTGTGGGGATCTGCCCTCCACCATGGGGAACACGACACCCCAGGTAGAAACCTGCAGTCCTCTGTGGGGACCAGCCAGGCAGACATGGGGACCTGCCACCTTCCTGCATGCAGAACACCCTGTCCTGCCCTATGCTAAGAGTACATGTGCAGCACCTGGCCCATGTTCCCTGGGGATAGTGCCACATGCTTGGGGACATCATGGCCCCATGCGTTAGTGTCCTTGCAGTGGGGCTACTGCTGGCACTGGACACAGCAGCCAGGACTAACCTGGTTTTGCACAGGCTCTCCTGGAAGCTGTCCTGGTGTTGGCTCAGGGATGGGGCTGGCAGGTACCCAGGGGTGCAGCACTGCCCTGCCCCAGCCAGCCCAGGCAGGATGTGCCAGGCAGAAATCTGCAAGGTTACCTTCTCAGTGTCCAAGTCCAGTTGCACAGGGACCTGGGCCCCTACCTGCAGCAGGTAGAGCAGGGCCAGAGCCAGGCTGGGCAGTGCTGCTGTCATCCTTGTCCTGGAGTGGATGTGGGCAGGAGAGGCTGCACCCACCTTTATAGCCCCCACTGCTGGCAGCACCCCTGCCCACACACCCGCTTTATGCAACAGGTTACATAAGGGCAGCGATAAGCTGTGCCCATCTTAGGTGGCAATGCCCTGTCCCCCACAGTTCTGGATGAATGCAGCCTTGTGTGAGACCCAACCCACATCATGCCAGGACCAAGTGCTGCCCCGTGCCCGCTCCGTGGCTGAGTAGGAGTATGAGGTGCATCCCAGGGGCCCCCTCCTGGCTATTCCCACTGATTCTAGGGTCTGTCAGTGGTGGGACAGATCCTGCCTCAGGATCCTCAGTGCCACAGAATGGTTGTGCTGTTACCAGGCTGAGCCATGGCCTGGTGCCCTCAGAACGGGTTGCGGATTCTTATGCTGGTGGCAAACAACTCAGACTCCACTGCTGGAGAGGGTCTGAGTTGATGGGATGGAGTTCCAGGGGTGGCCAGGATCAAGCCACACCCAGAGCTCACAGACATCCTTCTGCTTCGTGTCCATCCTTCCCCAAACTTCTGGAGAACCCCTGACAGCCCATCGCCCCATTCCCATACTGCCAGCCTGCTGTCCAGCAGGGAAACCAAGGCAGGGAAACTGGGGGAGCCCAAGGGGCAGAGGGGGAGCAGATGCCCCTCAGTGAGTCCTGGCCTCAGGGACCCCTTTTTCTGGGATAGGGCAGGTTCAGTGGGCAGGCAGCACCACAGGGCAGAGCTGTGAGTGCATATGGGGTCTCAGCCCAGCAGCTCCACAGCCAGGAGCTGGGGTCAGCCCTGACTGCTAACCCCAGTCCCAACCCCACTGGTCATGCTTTCCCCACCCCATCGCCTTGTTTGGGGCTGCCTCACAACAATCCAGCAGGCAAGGGCTGGTTTTTTATGGGCTTTAATTGAGACAGGGATACAGGTGTAGGTTGTGAAGCCAGGAAGCAAAGACTGCTGCAGTGCTGGGGAGCCACTGGTGGTCAGATGGGACAGGGTGGTCGCCAGTTTGCAATGCTGCTGGGGCTTGGACTGGTAGCAGCTGGTGGGTCTGCCTGGAAAAGATGGGGGGTGAGCATGGCTGAGCTGTGGGAGACCAGGTAACACAGAAGGGGTACATGGGCCTGGCGAGCCCCACACTGTGTGGGGAGGCACCCCACAGGGCTGGGTGGGGGATCCCCAGTAGTTGTGAGGAGAGGAGCAGCCTGGGGAAGGATTGTAGAGGGGCTGGGGGCTCTGTGGGGTGACACAGCTTTAAGCACCCACATACCCTCCCACAGGGCTGGTCTGAGTCCCAGTGAAGTCAGGACTCACCTAAGCAGCATCTGCCATGCATTTGTCTGCAGGAGGAAGAAACAGGGAGATCAGCTCCTCTGGGGGCTGTGGGACCTTAGCCCCCTGAGGGATCCTGAATGGGGATACCCCATGGCTGGCCCCATAGAGAGGCAGGGACAAGCCAGCAGGGTCTCCTCCTACTCAGTCCCCCTCTGGTATCCTCACCCCCTACTCCCTGACACCATCCCTGTGCTCCCAGCCTCACCTGTCTGGGGCAGGATGAGGATCTCATCATCCGTCAGGCCCTGCTCCCTGGAGAACTGGGTGAACATCTCCAGGTGCTCAGGACTCAGCTCCTTTGTCCGGCCTGCAGCCAAGAGCAGGGTGAGAGGCAGTCCCCCCGTACCCACCAGCACAGAGGTATGGGCAGCCTGGGGATCCCGACCCAGCCATCATCCTCCCAAGGTCACCCCAGCTTGAGAAATGACCCTAACCCTGCCCTTCTTCTATGGAAAAGAGACATCCCGGGGGCATGGACAGCATGGGGGTCCCGGGGAAGACATACTGTAGAGCAGCACCATGGTGGAGGAACCAGTGCTCTTGAAGATTCGGGTGGCCACCAAGGCGTATTCCTCATAGTTGGTCTCCACCACATGGATGTTGTGCTTGCTGCCCCAGCCTGTAGGGGATATGGGGCACAACTCAGCCTTGAGCTCAAAACCAGCTCCAAGGCAGGAGCAGGCACAGCAGGGCTGTGAGTATGTCCAGGGCAGCACAGAAGCTGGGCACTCACGTGGGCTGGTGTAGCTGAACCGCCCTGGCTGCTCTGTCTTGGTGTAAAGACTGTTCCTCGTCACGCACTGGTCCCCCCTGGGGAGCACAGCAGCGCGGGATGCACCAGTGGCCACCCCCAGTACCCCCTCCCCGCGCACTCCCTCCCCATGCCCCATACTTGGGGTAAGTAGATGTAACTTCCAGGTTCCCCTCTGCGGTGGTGGAGATGATGGTGGTGCACATCTTCATCAGGTGCCTCTTCTCCTTGAACCAGTTAGAGTTGGAGGCCAGGCCAATGCTGTACCATCTCCCTGTGAGCTGCACACAACCTCCACTCAGCCCCAGCTGGGCATAGACCCTGTCTCACCCCTCAGCCTCCACCAGCCCCAGCCCAGCCCATGTCCCTCTCCCCTGGCAGTGCCTTCCCTACAGCAGGACAGCATCTCAGGGAGCTGCTACAGCTCTTGGCAACCACAAAACCCAGGAACAAGGAAATCCCTGTTTTATTACGTGCCCTTCACTGCCCTTGGGTGTTTCCTTCCTCTTCACCCCAAGCCCAGGGAGTGTGACAGGACTGCCTGGCTCTGAGATACCATTTCCAGGCATCCGTGGGTATGAGGGGGGGTCAGGACACTGGGTGCAGCATGGCTCATTCCATTCCGGTGTATGGAGCCAGCAGTGTGCTGCCCTGAGGGGAACTGCCAGCCTTGGAGAGCAGCCGTGCTGGTATCACCCTTGCAGCACACCCCAAACCCCTGTCCTTGCAGGAGGTACCTCCCTCCAGCACCTCTGTATCCCCCAGCACCTTTCCAGGAGGAGGGATGGAAGGGATACCCCAGCACAGCAGCCCTTGTTTTTTTGTGGCCCTGGGCTGGGGTCTTTGTTGGGGAGGGGTTCCCATGGCCCACTTCTGTGCTGTCAGACTGAGATTGCCTTTCTCACTCTCCCCTGTAAGATCCCTGAGCATCCACACCCATTCCACAGCACAGCAGCAGCTCGGACCCATGCCTAATCCAGGGTTCTGCCCCACAGGCTGGAGCCTGGATGCTGGATCCCACCAAACCCAGGTGCTGGGAGGTCCCAGGATGGGGGGGCTGCATGTGCACCAGGGCGAGCCTGGCCCCCCATCCACCTGCACCACCCCCTCCCCACATTTCTGGGGCAAGGATCCCCCAAAACACCCCAAACCTCCACAGAGGTGATGCCGGTTGGCCTGGGTCACCTTGTCCTGCTGGAAGTCAGCTTGGACAGGAATGCTGTCCTGGGCGTGCAGTGTGCTGAGCAGGGCCAGCCCCAGGACGCCGAGCAGTGTGGCCTGCATGGCAAAGCGGAGCTGAGCCGAGAGCTGGAGGCAGAGTGCTGCAGTGCTGGAGAGTTTGTCGAGCCCCTATTTATGGTCAGGCATTGCAGGGGCCCCCGGGCAGCCAGCCCTGCCTCCCCCCATGCCGTTATGCAAGCTGGGGCAGGACAGAGCGCTGAAGCCAAAGGGCAAGCAGGGGATCCTGTGAATGCTTCCCTCCTGTTGATATGACGTATTTGCTCCAGGGTGCCAAAATGCTCAGCAGTGAAAACAGCCAGCGGCCAGCGGAGTGGCTGCCCTGCCTCCAGTGCTGCTGGGCTGGGGCACGGAGCAGCCCATGGAGAGGGGCCAGCGCTGCCCCATCCACACAGGGTGGCCTCACTCAGACCCAGAGTGGGGCTTCAGTCAGATGGAGGAAATCCAGGGCCTGCCAGGTCCCAACCCAGCCCATGGGACCTGATACCTGTGGGACCTCCTGCTTTGCCTTGACTCAAGTCCCTGCAACACCCAACTCAGCACCCTTGGGGTGTGTCCCACCGGGGAGCCCCGTGATGTTCAGCTCTCTGGGGACCAGCATGCAGCCAGATGCACCTTAGGACTTGACGGCCCACCTGCCCCACCACCCTGCAGCCTTTGCCAGGTGCTGGAGATGCTGTCCTCCTTGGTTTGGGGTCACCAGCAGGTACTAAGGTATCCCACTCAATCTGGGGACTGTCCTGCAGGCTGAGGGCAGGGGATGTATGCTGGTGCCAGCAGCAATGCCCACGGATCTGGCAGGGTTTGGGCAGGGCTGGCTATGCCGGGCAGAGCCCCAGACCCGCCGTGCAGCCCTGCCGGAGTGCCTTACGTAAGGATCATGTTTTCAGAACAGCTGGTTTTCCCCTGGCAGCCCCCCTTGCACATTCCCTTCCCTGCGTCCCGCTGTGAGGCCGCCCTGCCCTGCACACCCCGCGCCTGCTTGGCCCTGCGGATTTATTAAAACAAAACAAAAGCTGAGCCAGGCAGGACTGGGGCTGGCCCTGCTCGGGACGCTGCATGCCCAGGACAGCACTCCCGTCCAAGCTGCCTTCCAGCAGGACAAGGTGACCCAGAGCCTGGCTGGGGCCCTGCATGCTGGGCTGGGGCTCAGTCTCCCCCAGAGCTCACCCTCAGGGTGCTGGGGGAACACTCTCCATCAGGCACAGAGGCAAGGAACACCCAGGGTGTCACTGTCACCTGGCGCTGCAGCAGGAACACAAAGTCCCCCCTGCTGCCAGATACCTCCAGTTCCTTGCCCAGGTGCCAGGAGGGGGTGACCGATGGATGCCCAGGTGGTGCCCGGGTCTCCTGAGGGTGACAAAGCTGGGAGCCAGCCCAGGCACCTGTGTGGCAAAGCCGGTGCAAGCTCAGGAGTATGGGAGCACTTGGGGGCATAGGGGACACCAACAGCGGCAAGGGGCAGAAAGAGCAAGGCTGGGGGCAGGACGGAGTATCTGGACTGTGGGTTCCTGCGGCAGCTGGACACAGACCCTTGGGCATAACCTGGGTGTTTGCACTTGGAAATGGTTTAGCCCCAACGATGGATGATCCGAGCCGGGATGAAGGGTGTGGGGAATCCTTACGGACCAGCCCAGCTCCCCGGGTCTCTCCCCTTGCTCCCTCATCCCCCTGCCCAGTGCAGCCACTTTGGGGTGCAGGTAAAATGGGCTGAATCCAGCACAGCCTGGCTCTGTCAGGTTCGGGGGGCGGCCAGGCTGGACACAGGTGGTGGGAACAGGGACTGGCTTCTGGCACAACACGTGTCTTCCCTTACATAATTCCCTGATAAACAACACGTGCCAGCAGTTCCCGCTAGGATTGCAAAATGCTTTTTTGTACTGTGGACAGACGGCTGCTCCCCAGCCCGGGGGCTGCCCTGTCCCCTCCTGGAGCCAGTGCCAATCCATTTGCCTGCAATGTGGCAGGACAGCCTTGGCTAGGCTCCACACACAGGGAGGAGGGGTCAGATGAGGGGCTGCAGCATTAACCCAGGGGGTCTACCCAGCCCTCCAGCCCCTCCAGTGCCCTGCCTGTCTGTCTGAGAGGTGCTGGCTGTATGGGCAGGAGTCCAGTGCAGGCAGCAGCCCCTCGAGAAACAAACTCTGCAGGGCTGGGGCAGGGGAACAGGCTGTTTCCTGGCCCTGGAGGTCCTGGGGACAGGAAGCAGGATTGCGGGACTAAGATTTCATCCCCTGGGGTCCCTGAGTGATCTCCCAGCTTGTTGGGAGAAAAGGCAGATGCTGTGCTCTCCCCAGTGCCCCTAAGTCCATGCCCCCTGTGGGCCAGGGACAGTGCTGTTCCCCTCAGTGCTGGGACCTCCCTTGCCCCTGCCAGCTTGACGACAGGTACCACATCACAGGAACCACCACACAATTCACACCACAGGAACCACTGACACAATTCTGTCCCACTTTCCCATGGATGGTGAAGGCTCACAGAAAAGATGGCAGGGGTCTGCATGGAAGGGGGCTGCACAGCCCCCCAACACCCCCTCAGCACATGTCCAAGACATTGTCAGCCCACGGTGGAGGCAGTGCTGGCCTGGCTGGGGCAGACCTAGAGCTGACTGGCCTGTACACAGGCTCTTCTCTGAGGTGTTTATTGGGGTGTTGCTGGCTGCTGCAGGAGAGTGGGGTACAGAGCAGAGGGGCGACACAAGCTAGGGGGCACAGGACAAGCGCAGCTGCCAGCACAGCTGGAGGGGCTGAGGAGCCCCAAGGCTGGCTCCAGAACTGTGGAGCAGCAGGGGGAGCAGACTCAAGTGCGGCTCAGATCTGCGTGGATATGGGCAGCTGGCTGAGGTGAGGGCTGAGCCCTGAGACCCCACGGCAACTCCATCCGCACCTACAGCTTCGTTTCTGGAAAAGAAGTGCTGAGGGGCTGGAGGGGTGTCCATGCCCAGTCTGACCCATGTGGGGGGTGAGTGGGGCTTGCTTTGCCAGGATGTACCTGATGCCCATTCTGAGTGACACTGCACACACAAGAGCACACTCTTCTGGGGAATGGTCTGGCATGGCCTCTCCCGTGCCAGACCAGCCCTCCCACACCCCTGGGGCAGGACTACACAGTCATGGTGAAGTGTGGATCTGGCCCAGTGTGCCCAGCCCACTGCCAGGACAGGGACACCCAACTGATGCCCAATGTGGGACCAAGCCTGGTACATAGGAGAGGGCACCCAGCACATCACCCAGCATCCCCAACTCACCATCAAGGATGTGAAACTCATCTGCAGAGTCACAAAACCCTGCAAGAGACAGAGCCCGGGAGGATCACCTTGTCTGGAGCTTGGCACCCTCCAGTCCCTGCACCCCCAGGACATTGCAGGGCACAGCCCCATTCTTGCATCTTTGTCCCCAGGGTGGCCAGAGCATCAGAACCCACACAGGTCTCCCTGAGGACTGTGTGCCACCCACCATAGGTGGGGAAGTAGTAGGTCACATCCTCACTCAGACCCACAGCCCTGATGTGCTGCTCGAACTTGTCCATGATGGCATCACTGACCAGGCTGGTCCGTCCTGTATGCGGGGAGACACCATCAGAGGCCTCAGGCCCTACCTGGCCCTGGCCTGAAGCCCCCCATGTTCCCACACAAGGCTCAGGCCCCATGGGGATTTCAGCTCAGAGAAGTGGGTTCCCAGTTCCCTCCTTACCTGCTCCCCCACAGCATCTGGGGACAATTCTCCAGCTGGGAGTGACCCCCATTCCCAGGCTGGATCCTCCAAGGCTTCGGCTGGCCTCTCCTGAGTCCAGCACGGGTTTCCCACCCCTGTCCTCCACCTGCCATGAGGCCCCGTGTCAAAGCCTACCATAGAGCTTAACAGAGATGCTGCGGCCCTTCTGGTAATAAAGGATAATGAAGTTGCTGGGGTCAGCCTCACCCACCACCACATCCACCTTGCTGCTTTTCCTATGGCCTGGGAAGGACAAGAGGATAGCCCAGTTAGTCCTGGTCAATCTTGGTTAGCCCCAGCATCATCCAGAGGCTTCATTTCACCACAAACCAGGTGTACAAGGGGTGAAAAATCAGGCCAGAGTGGGGCAGCCCCACAGACACCAGCCCATCATGTCACCTGTGATGGCATCTGGCACTTAGGGACACAAGACATAAAATACTGGGAGTGCACTGGGAAGAGGGACATTGGTATCAAAACCCTGCTGAGAGCAGGACTGGGGGGCTCCAGCAACCTCCTGTCACCCCAGACCAGTCTCCCTCACCCTTCAGCAGGAAGTGTCCAGGGGCCTGGGCAGGAAGGTAGTGCTGCCTGATTTCCCAGCACATCTTGTCCCTGCATGGGGAGAGGAGGAGGAGATGTCAGTACAGGCTGTGGAGGATATTCCTGGGTCCCTGCCCACCCAGGCACACACGCTGTCTGTTTCCTTGGAACTTTGTTTTCCCCCCCCAGGGAAAGATATCCCAGAACACTGGGGAGACATTGTAAGAGATGCTGAGCCCAAAATCTGTTGAGCCCAAGGTGTCCTTGCCACCCACCTGCAGCACTGAGCCTGGTCAGGACCTCATGGCCCACCAGGCTGGGGAAAGTGCTCACAGATGTGCTGAAGGTCGTCATCCTGAAACATGCTGCCTCTGGGATAGTCCCAAGAGCCAGTCCTGGGCTGCGCAGCCATGGAGCCACCACGTGCCTCAGTTTTGCCAGCCTGGCTGTCCTCACACGGACCAGCCTGGGCACACCCAGCCCAGCCTTGAGCTAGTGGCTGTATGGGTGGCAGGGTGCCAATCATGGCCAGGGTTTCTACTACAAAACTCTCTGGAGGGTATCCCACAACGCTTGGCTCTGGGGCAGCTCTGTCCTGTTTGGAGTCTGTGGCCAGGGCACTGGCACTGCTCTGACCTGCTTTCAGAGTCCCCATCCCAGGGCATCAGTCCTGTTCTGACCTGCCTGCAACACCCCTGTCCCTGCCCGCAGACCCTGTGTCTGGCATTACTCACAGCTTCCTGAAGGTGCTGATGGCCAGGCTCTGCCCATCCAGGATGGTTATTGTCACTGTCGTGGCCTCCAGCTGGTGGCTGTGCTCAAGCAGGTAGCTGCATTGGGAGGCCATGCTGACCAGGAACCACTTCCCTGAGAGCTGCATGGCACAGGGGTGACACCATCTACAGGGCCACCAGCTTGGGATGTCACCACTCAACCACCCTGAGCACCCTCCTTCCTCTCACTTGGCACCTCTGCCCACAGCCTGTCACTTGGGGTGCCCACAGGGCACAACTGCCCTTCAGGTGCTGATAGGTGGAATTGCAGGGCAGGAGCCTGACACAGGGACAGGCTGGGGGTGTGTAGGGGATGTCCAAGGCACCTGCCCATGGCTCACACTGCCCACAGCACTGTGGGCACCCCAATGCCACACTGGGTATGTGCTGGGCATCGCTTTTTGCTGCAGCCCCAGCTCTGCCCCACCAGCAGAGCCCCAAAGTGAGGGCGGCTGCACAAACCCTGCAGCAGCTTCAGATGGTCGAGGGCCCCTGTAAGGCTCTGGCCCCTGCACTTGCTCTGTGGGCAGCTCTGCGGGCAGTGCTGGGGCTGAGCTAGGCTCTGGCAGCCCTGGCTGTGTGGAGGGCACCGAGGGGCTTGGGGATAGGCTGGGAGGCTGAGTGGGGAGGACAGTGGGGGTCTGCAAGGGTGGGCCTGGGGGGGAGAGGGCACAGG